AAGTCTTTTTTTTTACTAGAACACAGTTGATACATAAATAAAAACTCATTTCTCTATCATTTAGTGTATAATGAGAATCAGAAAATGTGACTTGGCTAAATTATTTGCAGTGGCTCAATTCTGCACTCTCAATTCAGAAAGTCCAGCAGTCATATGATGGTCTGACTGTCTTATATTTCTTGAATCTCAAAGAGAGGAGTTTCTACTGACAGCTGTCAGGATCACAGTCAGCCTGAAGATCTCCTCAGCCTCTCCAACACATGGCACAACTTGGTATCAGGACATTACACCATCCACTTCCTGTGCAGCATGCCACCTCTTAAGCCAATCTCTCTAACCAGGATGTGACAGGATCAATTTTCTCCCCTTCCTTTGTTACAGCCTCCACAAAGTCCACCTTGATACCTCCTAAGTGTCCAAACTCGAAGTCTTGGCCAGGATGCCCCAGGAAGCTGTTATTGTTGCCTGTGCCGCTGGTCGACTGCAGCTGGCTGGAGCGTGTCTCTCGCAGGAGGTTCCTGGAATGAGGAAAGGAGGTGGGTCAGAAGGGGAAAGTGAGAGAAGTGGACAGGGCCTTGTCTTGATCATCTCTTATCCTATATCACTAAATTCTAAACAATCTTTTGTGTGTGTGGAAATACACTGGAGAAAACATTATAATCACATTGTCTTCACATTAGCGTATATTAATAAATCTTATCAACTAATTCATCTGCATATCAACCCAATGGATCCAGTTGACAGGAGCATATCAATGAAATATTTGCCATGGAAGCTAACACAAACACTTTGTCTTAGTATATTTGGCTCAGCACAAGGGTTAGAGGAGCGTCATCACACGATACTGTTGTCAAGTGGCAGGTGATGGGAAAATCTCGCCATGAATACACAAAGCTTTTGAAAGGGAGACTGACTCAGTGGGCCTTTAGGGAGGGGCTCTTACATTATTTCCACTGGTAAACAAGGATAGGGTGTACCATTTGAAAGCCATGACAGGCTATGACACAGGAATCTGCTCCTGCCCTGTGTTATTGTAATTGCACAGTGTAAACTTCCCAAAGAGATACTATTTAGTCTGCTCAACAAAAACAGTCTATTACTATATCAATACAGTATGACAATTACAAATATAGACATTGGAAAATGGCAAAAGCACATCTGCTGAAAATAAGCTAATATCATTAAATGAGGAGGCAAGGAGTCTAGATACCATACATTAGTGCCCATGGGCCTACAAGACACAACCAGAACTCAAGTAAGCCTAATTCCAGAATTTTGATCATGTACAAGCCACAAGACACCTGGATCCAATGGGTTAAAGCCCATTCCACTGAATCAACCATTAGACTTTCATTTCTGATTTTTTTTACATAAAATCCAAATATCGTTAGAAAATTTTGGAAACATATGACCAATATCTCCATTAAATATTATGGCATCAGGAAATATAGCATTTCCCACATCAATACAATAGCATCAAATGTTAATATGACAAATCCTATGATAATAAAAGCTATTAAGCTAATGTCAATGTTCTCATAATAAACACAAATGTTGAATGCCACTACAAGAAATGTTATCATAAAAATGCACCATATCTCCCTTACATTTCCTTCTCCATCATCTTGCAGATGAGCTGGGCAGAGCGAGCCAGGGGAAGGTCCTGCTTGTTGCAAACCACAAGGATCCTTGGCTGACCATTTTGGATGGTTTCGTCACACAGAACGCTGTAAAGGAATCTGAAAGAAATATATAGTTTAGCTTTTACCTTCTGCACTTTTCTTTTCTACAATTTCCCTTTAACTAACAGGAACAAAGAATAAGCATTTATAATTTGTGGATATGCTCTCAATTCAATTTCTAATCTCTCTAAAAAAAATCTTACTAATACAATAAAAATAAATCTATGAAGAAATATGGCATCTGAAACTTCTTACAAAAAATTGACAAGTTCTCTAACATCACAAACTAGATTTCTAGATAAATGCAAGTTCAGCCATAAATCCCAACCACTTACTCAGCCGCATCCCTGACGTCTTTCTGGATAGTTGCTGAATCGACAAGGAAGACTATACCTCCAGTAACATTCTTGATTTTCTCAAAGGCAGCATAGCGTATGCGTTCGTGACCAGGTACGTCGTATATAGTCAGAGATTTCTGTGGGTTTGTGAGAGGTAAGATAAGTACTAATACATATTTTTGATGAAAAAATTTCATTGATAAACAATGGGAGTATATTTTTGGTTACCATCATAGACATACTCATACCAAATACACAAACACTATTCACATATATTTGCCCAATCTCCCCCATTGAATTTAGTATTATTAATCCTATACTATTCAGTCAGTTTAAGGAAAAAATACAAATTGAAGTAAAGATATTCTACATAAACCAAAGTATTTAATCTGTATAACTATAAGCTTAAGCATGAAAACACATTAATTTTTCTTTTGTGATATCTTCATTATTTTCATCATGATATCAATAGTACCGCATAATCTATGCTATCTGAATTTGTACTCACCTTGCCAACTTTGAATTCTGCATTTGAGGGCTTCATAGACGTGACTGTGGTTACATCAGCCCCATAGCAAATCCGTGAGAAGAGCTGTGTCTTGCCGGATTCACAGAGCCCCATCAGCAGCACACCATGGCGCTTACTGCCTGACCGGAAGAGTCTGAAGAGAATATCTGCAAAGAGAAAGATCATAAATACTTGAGTTCTACTTAATGACTGTTATAAAAGAATAAATTGGCATAGTACATATTCTAAGAGGTATTATATTACACTAAAATTTATCCCATTGCAGTAATTATAGCTTACTTCTGTATGGGGCCATGTCAGGTGATGTTATCAGATAATCATTACACCAACAGTTATTTCATAATTGCAAGTCTGACAATGCCATCATTCAAATTGCACAAAACTAAGGCATCTTAATCAATGGTGAAATTTCCACAAATAAAGTATTCAATAATTAAAGCCAGAATCAGTCAAGGGGACACAATGGCTTTCAACAGAAGATTACCTTCGCTGCATTTGAGCTCAAATCTACTTAACCCTACTGTGATACAAAAATAGGCCTACAATTCTTTCAAGACAAGAGCTTGAACTGGTTCATTTTTTTGGCATTAAATCCCTAGGGACGTCTACAAGCTTTACTTTTGCTAGAATATATAATATGGATATGTGGATATCTTCTAAACATTTACCTACTTTAAAAACAGAAATCTTGGGATCGTGAGATATTTCTAGCTCAAGATTATAATTAGAAATGACAGATTCCAGTCAATGCCAAAGTGCTCAATCATAACCTATTACCAGACAACTTTTGAGGGAAAGAACATCTTCAATTTTCCCTAGCTTTGTGTATCTGTACCACAGAGGTTAACCTAAAACTTAGTTTCCATATATTCCACTTCATAAAACTTATTTTCCTTCAAATTTTATTTTGCAGTTTCCTTGATATGCTTCATGCTCTCCTTTACTAATACAGCCAGGATAATGGGATAATAATTCCTAAATATATGAATACTAAAGGATGCAAGAAATCCTGTGATATCAATACTTCCTACCAGCTGTTCATCCAAAAATAAGTTCAACATAAATATATCACATATTACACAAAGATTTCCAAAGCCAATAACATATGTGCATTATATATATATATATATATATATATATATATATATATATATATATATATATGTATGTATATATATATATATATATATATATATATATATATATATATATATATATATATATATTATATATATATATATATATATATATATATATATATATATATATAATATATATATAATTCTTATGCATAGATGCACCAAACTAGACAAACTGAACATGATATTCTTATACATGAAAGTCATCAGCACAATAAACAATCTGCAGACACTAACAGTAACATTATAAATAAAGGAAAATCATGCTAAAGTCCCTTCGGTGCTTCCATATTTCACTCTATCTTGCCTTGCATATCAGGCGTAAACAATGTCTGCTAAGATAATGACCCATCAACTCTACTCTCAGGCAGTCAGGCACACCCACTCACAGCATAATAAATGTTGAAAAAATTGTGATTGGAGTTGGACTTTCTTCAAAATATATAGTGTATATGTGTGTGTATGTGTATATATATGTATATATATATATATATATATATATATATATATATATATATATATATATATATATATAATATATATAATATATATATATATATATATACATAATTACATATAAACATATATATAATTTATATATAAACACATACACATAATTTATATATAAACATATATATATTTATACATATATACATATATATATACACATACATATATATACACTTATACATATATATAATATATATATTTTATATATGCATATATATACATTTATGTCTTTACATACATATACGTACATATACATATATATACGTACATATACCTATATGTACATATATATACGTACATATACCTATATGTACATATATATACATATATATATATATATATATATATATATATATATATGTACATATGAAATAACAATCCAAATAAGTTCAAACCTTCTATAACAATATTGGGTAATCTTACATAATAGTTCCGCCTATGGGATTAAGACGATTTTCATGTCGATGGATTCCTTTCACCCTCTACTATCCAAATATAAAGAAATGACTACATGGAAACCCCCCAAATTGCCAAGCAAGATGCAAATAATATAAACAGAATCAGTTACCCGCTGCTGCCCTCTAACCCACACCCAGGATAACAAAGAATCCTCCATGTATTCATGGCAGGAGAGTGTGTTGGACAGACGCCATTGGACGTTCCTGCAAGTTAGTCGTATACTCTCTCCAGCCATAAATACATGAAGGATTTCATGCCCACCCCTGCTATCAGGGCCAAGATTGCCATTCGAAGGAGGGTTTCTGCACAATAAATTATTTACATTAGGATAATAGACAGGGAG